TCAATTATATACCAACGCAAGTGAACATAAACACAGTGAGAATTCTGGCCCTTCCAATAATAATAATCGAATTGACAAGATATAAAATATGTGTTGTAGTTATTTAGATAACAAACCTAAAAGTAAACAACATTAACACAATGCTAGTACAGTATAAGACACTGAAGTACACACACACACACACACACACACACACACACACATTCTAATAAGTTTCAATACTAAAACAATAAAAACTATGAAATAAAAATATACTACAAGCTTAAAAAAAATATAAGAAAGTAAAAAAACCAACAATAAAACAAGTATTAAAAAACAGAGGTCCTCCCATCTATTGGTTCTTGCTAGTGGTCAATTCATGATGGATTTTTCATACTGCAACTTTTAATAGAATGACTTCATATGTGATGAACAAATTATCTTTCAAAAGCAGTGGTGGGTTGCCAATTTTTTTACTGCCGTTTTGGGCACACTCCCACGTGCGTGCGTAATACTTCTGCACATGAGCAGAAGCATCCGGGCAGGTGGGCAGAGCCTCCCGCTACCGCTACTACCAATTAGCCAGATCCCGGCTGAACTGGGAGCAACCCACCTCTGTCCAAAAGTAATAAATAGACAGGGGATTCATCTATGCAACCTGGCAATCTCCCAAGTACAGTAGTGAGGAAATAAGAGCACTTTGAATGTCTCTATCAAAAGAACATGGTCATTTAAAATATACAAACTTCCTACAGTTTCTCTCCAAAAATAGCAAAGGGAGAGAATAACAACATGCCTAAAATAAAAGCTTTTCTGCGTTTTGGGAATTCTAGTTGTATAAGATACATGAGAAATGTTACTATATATTTGCAAATGTAAAAGGGGTATTTGTTCCCGTACCTAAACTAGCCTTGGATATAGAGTGCAAGGCTGTTTCAGCCAAGAAAAAGAACTTTATTATTCAAAGCTTTAGAATAATTTGAGGGGAGGAGAATAGCTTCACCTTATATAAGTAGTCCTCAACTTATTCATTTGTTTCAGTCTCATCTTAAATAAGTGAATATAATGAAAGTGAAGCTTTGTAATGTGAGAATAATCTTGTCAGATTAAAACAAGGTGACACTAAAATAGGCATTAAATGCCTAAGCAAGAATTTGGCAGACTGATGCCATCCATATATCTTGGCCAATAACTTCTAGAAATTGCCCAAAGCATTTGGAGGTCACCTCTTTTTGCTCATCACAGATTTAGATGCATATTCAAAGAAAAATGAATATTTTTTTTAAAAAATCATCCATAATTATTTTAAGTGACGAATCAAATTGTGCATGCATTTAAGATTTTTACTGATTTCACATACTTCTAAAGAAATATCTGCATCATAATATAAATCTATAGTTTAAAAAAAATATAGTTCCTTTTTTTTAGAGTAATTTCTAGTTCAGCACTCATGTACTTCCCCATGAAAAACTGTAAGCATAGTTTACTCTTGAATTGCATTATCTCACCTGGTTTACTTTCATTTGGCTTATATTGCACTTCCTCAACGCATTCTGCAGGAAACCATCCAACATGTCCCCGAGTACTGCCTTCCCAGAATCCACCCTCACCTATGTTCAAAACTAGAAAGAAAATAGGAAAATACGGTTCAGTTTTTTGTTCTTTAATGTACAAGTTTAAATAATAACCCCCAAACTTTAAATAGGTAGATTGCGCTCAATGCTATTTCAAATAGTGCAATATTCTATTCAGTGCAAATTATAAATTGATATTTGGTCATGTTTAATATAAGACCAACTTCTGTTATTGTTAGACTGCATTGAGGTTACTATATGTACAGTTGTGGTTTTAGCCACTAATTGTCATGTGAGCAAAATGGGAAAAGAACCATTTGAGGTATTTGAGAAGAATTTCATTTGAAAGAATGGTAACAGAACGCAGGAGATAGCAGGTACAGTTTGGATGTAGGCTTATCCTCCAGTTTGTCCTTTGTTCACTTAATTTACTTATTTTAAATATTTATGTAATCTATAGTATGGCAGGTCATAATCCATTAGAATTCAATAAAAATCACTAAAGCCACATGAAGTTAACTGCAGGATGAACTAGACGATCTTGTTAGCACATCCTGAATTAGGTAATATAGAAGTTTTTGTCAATGTACAATAAGCTTACTTTTAAGAATTATACTTAGATTTTTTTATTGTTGTTTTATTTTCTGTAACCACTCTGCAATTTGCCAAAAAATTAAATTTTATATATATTATTTTAAACTTTTGTTATATTTGATTAATAAACATATAAAAATTATGTTTAAAGGTTTTCATTTCTGTGAAACTAATTACCCTATTTCCCATAGAAATATAACTCTGAATAGTGTAGATTGAAATAATGCAACCATTTCATGGGATTTCTCATCGGCACTATTTGAGATGCATCTGTAATAATGTTTGCAATAAACTAAGGACACAATCAATAATTAATTTATATAAATGATAATTTATGCTCAAGTATGAACAACAATGCAATATAATATAAGCATTTATATACATTATTCATACTGTACTAATAAAACATGTCTTGACAAAGAATTAAGGAAATTAATTTAAAACATACTTAAAACTAAAATAAATAATCTAATATAAAAGGTGCCTTTACATTCGAAGTATTTTTCACACAATTAGCAGAAGTTCCTTCAGTGAATCTTAAAACGGGTTATCAGAAATTCCAGAAAATGAGTCTTTGAACATTCAGTGAGACTTCGAAGATACTGCTTCAAAGTGTTACATGAATTGCAAGTTAAGCCTTTTATAAACTGGGTTGGAAATGATACCACTTAATTTTATTCAAAGGAAAGGCACTTGTGCCAATGACTAACAGCTTTAGTTGAAAAGCCATGTTCATACAACCCACAATCAGTATAAAGTACATTTTTGAATTCTATAAAAATCTTCACTGCTAAAGAAAAATGACAATGTTAGCACATGTTCTTAAAAGACTAAAAGTGCACATAGACATTACTTTTTAAATGTGGGCACTGTAAAACTGACAGCTACAAAAACATCACTAAGGATTCTTTTTAAAGACACTTGACAGATCTTAATAATTGCTCCCTTGCCTTGTGTGAATCTGATTGGAATATTATAATGTTTCTCTCTTATTCTTCCTCAGAAAAGCACATTCCCTTGCACCAAAGCCTACGCACTATTGTTAAGTATATTTAATTTTAATATATGTTTAATAAATCTTACATATTATTAAATGTCAACATACATAATAATAAACATTATACATACATACATACATACATACATTCAAATTAATATATCATTCACTAATAATATATTACACTTAAATAGATACAACTTACCCTCACAAAATTTTCACTTTATCATTAATTTGTTCACATCCCCAGACATTTGTTTTCTTAACTCTCCCTTTCATCTCCTCTTTCATCTTTACCTCTTTCATCCATTTTTTTAAAAAGCTTTCAATATAGTATCCAGTGATTTAGTCAATTTAGTATAATTATTCAGCTAATTTAGTGCACAATTTCTTAAACTTTTTAAATCCTGATGGTATAATTCTTCTCTTTGCAGATTGTTCTAGGAATCCTCTCTTCCCCTCCTGTTTTTGATGCTTTTCTGATAGTTGCCATTCTAATATTGTTATTCAAAGTGACAGTATCTCAGTTGCAAGGGAAAGAATAAAAGGCAAAATTTTTATTTTTTTCTATTATGTCTTCCAGTGCCCTTAATATTTTTATTTCAAATTGCAATCTCTAGTTACATTCAGCATCAGTCTGATTCATATTACCTTAATCTTTTGTTTTGTTTAATGTATCAATTGTCTGACTCTTTAATAGTAAAAAAAAAATGTTCCCATGAAAGTCCAGATCATTTGTGCATTTTAATTCCAATATTCTCAACAGCACTTTCATCACAAAATTACTTTTCAAAATAATTATTCCTTTTATCTGTTTTAAACCATCTTGTTGAATTTTTTCTCAACAGCTTTGAAGTCTTTAAAAGTCTTTTTTCCTTTTTAGTACAAAAATAATGTTGACCCATTATATGAAATTCTCTTATCCTGCCAATCAGAAAATCTCCATTTAGCTATAAATTAATTACATTTGAAAAAGGTTAAGAAATTGAGCCTTGTGCAAACCTTTTGTCCATATCAATGTCAACTTCCCCAGCTAAATCAGACAGGAAACATGACTAGGTGAACTAGATTTTTTTGTAATTTATTTACAACATTAATATAATAGTGTTTTTTAAGTCTGAAGTCTCATATTACCATCACTCTATGTTTAAACATCTAATCCATTAGGATGGGTTCTTCTGAAGTTTTTTCTCCAACCATTAAGTCCTTGGGACTTCTCCTTTTCTTGGTTAATTGTTCCTAGGCAATATATCATTTCCTCATTTCCCAATGCCATCCTCATCTTTCAATACATTAGACTGCATTACAGCTGTGAAGTTGATTGAAAATCTTCAATTCCCAGCAGCTCAATTCATGAGTCAATCACAAAAACCTCATTTCCTGCAGCTGTCTGGAGTGCACATAGGCAATCTCACAATCTCTTCTTTATCTGGAAAGATAGTGGTGGCCAGAATTCACCATATGACTGCTGAAGTCCACTGCAATGCTGGTCCACTCCTCCAGGGATGTCTAGTCCACCATATGTTCTTATCTGGAAGACCTACTTTTCCAATGTCCAATTTTTTACTGCCATAGGTTGTCACCATTTTTAAAAATAAAAAATGCCAATTCTGATCTTGGTAGATATAGAAACATCATAGCATTTGAATATGTTTCTCAGGAAGTTCATTGTCATGCCAACAAATGCCAGTCTTTAGTGTCTTTCTTGATTGTTAATTTATTAATTGATGGTTGAAAACAATAGTTATCCATCACTCCAATATATTTATTATCAATTTTAAAGCTGGTTGTGAAGTTTACCTTTAATAATCAAGCTTCAACTGTCTGTTTTTTTCATTCCTTGAACTGTTCAACTGTTCATTTGAAGATGTAAAATCTGGGCAATTAAATTATGAGAGAGGAAACTGAAGAATATTTTGTAGAAGCCATTTAAGAAGCAGTCCAGTAGCTTACTATGAATCACATTTATCTCACAAAAGATAAAGTTGTAGATTAAGTTTAGCAATACCACTTAGGTTTATATACCACTTCATAGTGCTTTACAGCTCGGTCCCTCTAAGCAGTTTACAGAGGCAGCATATTCTCCCCAACAATCTGGGTCCTCATTTTACCAACCTTGGAAAGATGGAAGTCTGAGTCAATCCTGAGCCAGTGAGAATCGAACTGCTGGCAGTTGTCAGAATTAGTCTGCAATACTGCATTCTAACCACTGTGCTACCATGTCACATAAATTGGTTTATATTGATAATATTGTTAATTTAACATAGCAATGTAGTAGGAACAAAGCAATAAATGTTAAATTATAGCAATATCTGAGTTAGATATTGTCTAAGATTCCACCTTGATCACTGGCATTGCTTTGGTGGGAAAAACACTCCCACCATATATCAAATTTATTTTTATCAGCTGTGGATTTCTTTGTGTCATGGGTGTTAGACAGAAATGATGTCACTGGGCATGACTAATGGCTCAAAGTAAAGAGATATATTTAACTAGATTACCTAATAGTTTGTTAATTCAGTAATTTATATGTATTTTTAAATCTTTACCTGAACTTGACCCAATTTCAGCTTTCTTGGAACTATGTCTACCCTCCAAATCATTTCATGCATGATTTAGGCTTGTCTAGCCATGTATTTCCAGATACATTAAACGACAACTGCACAAATTACAATCCAGCATAATAAATGGATATTAATTAGTGTGGCCCTGCTCTGACGTTGCCCCATTCATTCCCAATATGGTATCATGTAATACTGTTGAGAATAAAATACATTGGGAGATGGAAAACTGTGAAACAAGAAACTAGGAAATTACCTCATTGGCATAGTGTAGGAACACAAGAGGAGAAAGTGCTACATATACCAAATATCAACACCACAGTATACTCACCTCCATCATCAATTCCTTATTCATGTTCTATAACTTTTTTTTAAAAGGAATGATAATAAATGTTCCTATTTTGTAGTTTGTTGCAAGTGCTGATTTTAGAATATTGGTATGGATGGAACAGAATATAACTGGATGTTTTGATCAGGAGTTCGGGGCCTCCATGATAACCAGGTAATTTCTGACCTGACACATCCAAGCAAGCAGGCTACATGCTGGACCCTGTCTTTTGCCTAGGAATACCTGTGTTCTGACTTGGACATGGAAGGTATGACATCTAGCACTTTGTTCGAGTCAGATCAGTTCCTGGCTCAGACAATACTAACTACTGCCAACAGGTATTTAGTAGAGTTTTTGAGTGAACTGACAAATGGTTTTACTGAGTACTTGGTCAAGCTTTAGCAGCAGGAGATCTCTTTTTGATTGCCTTTGGAGCTCTCCCAGACAATATCTGGAGAGTAAGCTGACAGTGTATGTTTTTTTTATATATACATTGTTCTATTTTTATTTTGAATTTAATTATTTTGCTTATCACAGGCACTTTAATTGTTATAATGTATGCTGTTTC